ATAATTAAAAAAAATAGGAAAAATCTATGATATGGGAAAGACATGGTACCAGAAGAGCTTTGACCAATCAGAGCACCCCCATGAATTTTGATGAAAACCACATGATTGGCCACCTCTTTTATGATATCAATTGATTGACTATAAGTTTTTCCAGTATCATGTCTTTTCAGTATCATATTCAAACAAAAAAGATAAAAAACAATATGGTGAATGTATAATCCATTAAAATTATAGGTTATAGATTTAATTACTGAATTTTCATAGGAAATTAGTAGAATTCAATATTAAGAAACAAAAATGCTTTAATTATTGGATTTAATGAGAGCAATTAGAGTTATATCTTAAATATAGGTCTTAATGAGAGAGAATAAGATAATTTAAAAATTAAGTGACAATCCTAATTAGGTTTTCTACGGTCGTAATAGAAAAGGGGCCAAATTTAAAAACAAAGTATTTCATTCAAGAAAAAGTCTAAAAATTTGGAACCCATTCATACTTTTAGTAGTAGTATAGATATAGCTGCATATAACAAGTGATGATGATTTAACATCGTCATATCAATTGATGATTCATTTTCTAATTTCACTTGGCCAATTTTCATGCAAAATAATGGTTGTGCATCACCATTCTAATGATGTTTTTGTTTTTGGTGCATTATTAATGTGGGAATAGTTCCCCATGGCTTTTGGACTTTTTCTTAACTAAAATCCCTCATTTTGGAATCAGCCGAGAGGGCATAAATTGTAATTTGGATTCTACTATTCAGTCCATTTTCCTCTCATCAAGTCCCATACTTAAGGCATTAACTATCATTTCTCCCATTAAATCTCATACTTAAGGTATCTTTGTTTCTCAACATTAAATTTCATTAATGCCGTAAATAATACTAAAATTTTAAATAGATAAAAATATAAAAAATTATGAGAATTTATAAAAAGATTTGGAGACATTTCTAATATTATATGTTCATCATGTTAAACAAATTTGAAGACATTGATGGTAGCAGCCTAGGTAACCCAAGACTGTTTGGAATTGAGGGAGTTTTCAGAAATGCTGAGGGCCAGACCATAGCCTTATATTTTGGTCCTATTGGTGTGGGAGATTCAGTTAATGTAGAGGTCTAAGCTGCTCTAAAAGGAGTAAAGCTTGCAAAGGAGATGGGGTTGGAACACTTAATCATTGAAAGAGACTCTAAATTGGTTATTGGGTGGATAAAAGAGAACTGCAACCTGATTCTACAAAGGGGCTTTGAGAAGATTCAGATGGTTAACATCAAACATATCAGTCAAGGGTAAATGGGAAAGATCATCAAATGGATTGATAAATTCTTTAGCTAAACAAGGGGTACATAGGAATTAGATTTTTTGGGCTCAATTATAAGCTTGTTGATGCAGTTTAGAGGCGTCACCTCGCACCTCTTTGTGGGATCTTGTAATATGTACCCTTTGTAATCTTTTTAATAAATTCTTTATTATCTATAAAAAAATTAACTATGATAAGTAAAAAGTATTTTTATTAATGATAAATAAGTGGTAGGCCAATATCTCAACCATTTGACTCATATTCGTCTATCCCATGATGTTATAATTAAATAACTAAATTTTTAAAAATAAAAAACATATGAAGAAATATTTGAAAATATAAAAAATAGAAAAAACATATACATATCCCTAATATTATATAGGGTTGGACTATGATATGGAAAAGATATGATATCTGAAAAACTTTTGACCAGTCAATTGGAATCATAAATGTGGTAGCCAATCAGGTGTTATTTATCAAAATTCATGGGTGGATTTTGATTGGTCAAAACTCTTCCCATACCATATCTTTTCTACATCATAGATTTTCCCTATAATATATTGATCATATTAAAAAAAAATAAGTGTGGTAAATAAGAATTATTTTCATTAATGATGTAAATAAAATACAAAATTTTAAATTGAGATAAAAATGAAATCATTTCCTATCTAAATATTCTAACCTTCTAGATTAAATAGGTCAACCCATTATGTCATAATTAAATAATAAATATTTAGAAAGGATAGAATCTTATTATTGACTAAAATATCATTATTTTTTAATTTGGTCACTTTCTAATTGTAAGGGAAAACATGTAATTTGAATTAATATCTTTCACCTCATCCAATTCCCTTTCATTAAGTCTGATATTTAAGGCATTAATTCCTTTGTTACCAAAAAAGCATTAACTCCTATTTTCTCTTATTGAGTATTTTATTAAGTTATTTCTCTTATTAATAAATGCTATTAATTAGATCTATATCCAATATTTTTAGCAATATAAAACCCATATTTCTTAAAATTGGTTTAAAAATGAAGCTATTTTTATGTCTTAGTCCACATGGGCCAAAATGGGTCACCTCGTGATGTTATAGTTGAATAATCAAACTTTTAAAATAGAAATAGATACAAAAGTTATAAAACGTGTAAAAGAATGGATGCATATAAAATATTATATATATATATATATATATATATATTAATCATATTAAAAAAAAGCAATAAGCAATAATTATTTTGTTTATTTTGGAAATGAAATAAAATATTTAAAACCAACCCAAAATTAAAATCATTTCTCTATTTGGTGGCAAATCAATAGTTCAATCTTTTGGATCAAATATATTGGTTCTTGATGTTAGAATTAAATAATAAAAATTACAAAAAGATAAAAATCACAAATATAAAAAATTATAAAAATCCACTAATAAATTGTATTTATAATACTAAAGAATGTGATATACCAAAATTGTTTTTATTGATGATTGAAATAAAAGACAAAATTTAAAATTAACTAAAAAATTAAATAGTTTTCCTATTTGGTGATAGGTCACACTATTTAACATTTTTGATCAAATTGTGCCAACCCTTGACATCATAATAAACAATAAAAAAAATTAAAACATTAAAAACACAAAAATTTGAAAAGATACATATATTTAGTAGAAAACATTTAAGCATATATTTAATAATATGTCCTCATCATCTCAAACAAAAATACAAAAAAAAAATTATAGAAAAAAGTTAAATACATCTCTAATATTTTACATTAATATATCAAATTAAAATAAATATGATAAAGAGAAATTATTTTATTAATAATGGGAATGAAATATAAAATATAAAATTAATCTAAAAATAAAATTGTTTCCTATTTGATGGTAAGTTAACAGTTAAACCTAGTTGTTATAAACTTATAATTAAATAATAAAAATTAGAAAAAGGAAAAACACAAAAATAACAAAAAAATTATACAAAACATTTGACACATCTATATTCATCATATTGATCAAAAAATAAATATGATATGTAAAATGATTTTTATATAAAATAATTAAAGACTTATTATATATCACCATCATCTAAAACAAGTATATACATTTACTGATTTACAAACATTATAATATCAGTTGATGATGAGGGTAGATTTGGCCCTCCAGTGAAATTGCGACACGTGGCACCTTATGACAACTAGGCAAACACCCAAGCAAACAACTTACCAAGTTGGTGTCCCACCTGGGCACCGGTCTGGCTGGCCTGGCGCGACCTGCACGCGGCCAGGCGCAGCC